ACTGGAAAAATGACCCGCTTTGTTCCCAAGACATGACCAGTAAATTTTATGAGACTTGGCTTCAAATGAATTATGAGTGGGGAGAAGGTTATGAGTCAGTTGACACTCTGAAACAGACAGTCAGCCGACTTTACCTAGATCAGCTATGAGGGATGAGATTAATAACCAAAATCTGGACACAACAAAATAGACGGTGAAAAAGTGGATCCATATCATGCTGACCAGGGTCTGGTGAAAAATAACTGTTCGTCGTTCTTAGGATCGATCTGACATCGGATAGCCAAGGGAGCGACTGACTTTGCATTAGCCTCAGCCCCCACCTTGGCTAACATGTCACGATGAGGCACTGGAGATCATCTCGCAGAACTTAGACTTCTTTGAATAGTTTTAACACTAGGTCAAGTTGATCCACGTTATTATTCATCACCACGAGACTTAACTAACACGGGAAGTTCAAAGAGGTAACGCGTTAAGTCTTTGAAACCAAGAATGTTCTCAGGGTCTGATGAATGTAGCCAAGTTTCGTTTAAGAAAATGGCGCAAGTGTTGCTGATCAGCGACACGACGAGAGGCGCCTTCAGCTAGTTGAGGTTTAGCAGGATGGCGTGGCGATGTTTGGTAATTATCGCTGGAAAATGCACACGTTTGGCGGGTGGTTCTTCACAGTTCTTTCTTTTTGTTCTTGCCTTTTTTGTGTTTTTTTCTTTTTCGTTTATTATTGATCTCTTCTACTATATCTGGCCTTCTGAATAATTTCACAGTCTGTCATACAGGAAGTAACACGGCAATAAAAAGTTAATTAAGTTGCTTTATGTCATGACAGAAGTTTATTATGATGTATCTTCAGCAACACTGGGAAACCTAGCAAATAGCTTAGCTTCACAAAAAAGGGCATAATTTCCATTCCCTTTCCGCTCTGAGGGCACAGTTTGTCTGTCACATGAAGAGTACTATAATTTTGTATTCTTCATAGTTACAGTAGAAGCTAGTCCGTAGGCCCGTTTAACGAAGTTCAGGAAAATCTCCTTTATGCGTCAGCCCTACTGTCTTTTGGAAAAGGTGGCAGAGCGGGCAAATCGAATGTTAGTATGCCTGACCATTGTTTCCGCTGGTTCTTTCGGCTTGTTGCCTTAGTAAAGTTTGTAATGTGCAATCTTTGATCTTAGCAGCGATATGTGGTACATATTTTCGAAACGCAAAAATTTGTAGACCTTGATATTGCCGTTTTACTTCGTTTATATGAGAAGAAATTTAGTCGTTGCCACTCACCGGAGCTGTCACAAAAGGTGCTTACTGATCGATGCTTGTCAATGTCTGCTAGATCTGAGTGCCGAAAAGTTTCTCCGCGAACACATACTTTCAAAAGCGCTGACTTTGGCTGAGGACAAGGTGTTCAACGTCAGGTGAGAACTCCGCACTGCCGTCTGATACACTGATGCTTTATGTTGGCTTGTGTGTAAGGTATAAACTGGTAAAGCTGATTTCACGCCTGGACAACAACTATCACAGCGCCATCGACCACGGGGCCATTGCCAAGGCCAAGTTGAATCTGGCCGATTTGCTGTCGCGCGAAAAACGACCTTCGACAAAGCGTTCAGGTCTCGTTCGCTCGAGCATCACTCCGAATGAGGACAAGCAAGACCGGAAGGAGAACCACATGAGGAAGAAGAGTATCATTGCCTCTGAAACGTCGGCGGTAAGGAGCAAGAAGGAAAATGGCAAAGTTTCCGCCGATTTGCCTGTCAGTACTCCAGCGCCCAAAGCGAAAGTGAGCCCTGTTACGTCCACGACAGCAACGGAACCAAAACCGCCCGTGGCACCGCCAAGAAGTAAAATAATCCCAAAAACGATTGGGGAAAACTCCAAGTTGCCTCCTCCCTCTTCCGGTTTCAGCACCTTCCCTCGTCGTACTATTGGTATGTATATTTTATTTTTCTTGTTCAAGTGACCTGATGAGAAGAGAAAAATTTAACTGAGACGAGCAACTTTTGTACTTAGCTTTCATGTTATTATATACAGAAAGTAACTTGTTGATCATTGGTACCGATACCGTTTCATTTATGGTTTAAAGCTGATATATTTTCTGATTTCAGCGGGACACCTGTTTCACCGTTCAGTCCAAACTGTCGCCGGTCATCATCAGAGAGTGAACAAAATAAATAGTAAACAAAATAATAGCATATAATGATATCAAAGAAGACAAATCAAATGTAATAGTACAGAACTGTTTTCTCGAATGTTATATTATTTATATTATTTGAAACAGCCTCAGCATCTTTGGTAATGTGTATCAAGGTTTTAATTATGGAACTGAGAAAGGCATAGACCAGAGACCTACTGTTACGGTCTTCGCAATGTGAATCCAACTTTAGGTATTCACAAGGTGGAGAATCAGCAGCCAGTAAATTTAAGGTTCTGTGTTAGAGAGAAGCATGAAGAAATGTGTTTTTCACGTACATTGGACTTGCAGAGCTGTCAAGGTTGTCTAACTCAACTGTAACAGTATGCCAACCACAGAACAATCGACCGTATCCCTTTAAGGTAGCCCAGTCAGTGGAGTACCAACTAATGGCAGTCGAATGGTCTTGATTTCTATCTCGCCGAAATCCTTGAAATAAATGAGCTGCTTTTCACGTACCTGCAGATATTGCCATCGTAAACGAAGCAACAATGGCTGCATTGAAACAGCAGTCAGTGTTTTTGCGTAATCGCGGTCACAACGGGTTATATATAGCGCCCATCTATACGTGAAAAGAAAGAAAAACAGGAAAGTTTGTTTGTAGCCCTTGTGAGGGTCGGTCTTTCTTGCATTTTCATGGTGAGGCCATTCCGGCGCCCTTCTTTACAAATAGTTATTGGTAGGACCCTGATCTCCATTTACCATGCTATCAGTCAGGATTGTTTTTTTTAAAGGCCGAGATGACCGCTGGTTTTGCGGCTAACGTGATGTTAAGTCTTACCCACAGACAGG